GGACGGGGGAGAGGAAGAGCAAGGCCGAGAGAGGGCAAGGGCCCGGGCGCTGGCATACCAGGGGGGGCAGGGTGGTGGGCGGCGACCGCCGCATACCGTCCTACGGCGGGGACTATCGCTACGCCAGGGAAGACAAGGGCGTCGAAGTGCAGCTGCTGCTGTTCGAATCGTTCGGCGGGTTCGGAAAGGGGGTCCGTGAGATCCTCCGGAAGGCGGCGGACGTACTACAGAACAAGCTGACGCGGGCCCAGTACCTCGATGAGGTGACTTGGACCACCAAGAGCTGGCTGGGGCTGCAGAAGCAGCGCATCTCAGTCGTTCTTCACACGGCAATCGCAGAGCAGATTGTGAATGAGCTTGCCTGTGGCGGGGGTGGGCGGGTGCACGGAGCTAAGTGCCTCGCCACCCTCGCAGGAGTCGCTTAGGCGGCTCCCGTGGTGTACCTGTGTTAGTGCCAGTGCGAGCCAGTCCCGTGCCCAGTCCTGTGCCCAGTGTTGTGCGAGGGAGTTTTGTTGTAAAATTCTTTCTGAGGCTGAGGGTGAGGCGGAAGGCGCCGACGCTCAGCTGGATCCGGCAGTCGTCGTCGAGTCCGAGTACCCGACTACATGTACATCCCAAGTCGTGCGCGAGTCAAAAGTACAAAGAGAGGAAGAGGGGACTGATTCCGGAGCCCCTCTCGCAACACTGGTCACTGGTTCGGACTGGCCCCGCTTATCTAGCCGCCGAAGGCCTCCTCCGGGCACCCACCTCACCCCGCTCCGCCCCGCCCCGCCCCTCCCTCTCCCCGCCCCCTCCCCAAAGCCGCACTCGGCTCTGCCTTCCTCCCGATCCTCACCCTCGTGCGCTCGCCGCCCGCGCCTCCTCCTCCCCCATGCGAGAGAGAGAGTACGAGCAGCGCAAGCACACCTCGCAGCCAAACCGAGAAGAAAGCGCGCCCCAGATGGAGCGGGAGGCGAGCGTTGCCGTGCTCAGGAAACCTGCCCTGCCGACAACTCCATCTCCTTCTCCATGACGCCGGCACCGTCACCAGCCAGAGGAGCCGCTGCCTTGACGCGGCCGGTTTCAGCTTGGAGTGAGGTTGAGAGAGAGAGATTTGTGTTGGATTTGTGTTGAGGGTTGATGACTGCACTTCAAGTGCTCCAAGAAGAGGATGTTTGAGGGGCGGTTTTGTAATTTGGACCGAAGGATCTAATTAGATTAGTAGCAAATGAGATAGTTAGTTGGCTTAGATAAAACTAGACAG